AACTTAAATGCATCACTAGCATACAAGATATTTTGCTGTAAAGAGCTGCATGAGCTGATCGAAAAGACACAAACCAGAATAAACCCGCTTCCTCATTTGATAGCGATACTCTCTAACAGTTAGAAGATGTCGAAGAATGCTGCTGTACTCCGACTGGAAGCTAGGAATATCCTTTATAACATCCCATATATGACTGAATAGCACTTTAACGACAGAAAGCAAAAGAAAATTTCTTCCTGCAAAAATTTAATTCAAATTTTGAGTATGCCAGAAAAATATGCCCAGCATCCACATGGTTCCAGGACAATAACAAGGACATGCTTGGTACGAGTCACCTCCACCGGCACGCAATGACAAAGATAAATGTTGGCCAAGTGGGCCACACTGCAGAAAGAGAAAAAAGGTGGTGTCTCCAATGTCCGGGACTCTTGCCAATGTGATATCTGAGGCAAGGAGGTCAATGTACGCAACCATACACTTATGAGGCAAAACAGTAGTTTCCATCACCCAAACTCTAGTCATCCAAGTCGTGAAGAAGCAACCTTACATTGATGCCAAGGCTCAGCCTCAAGTTCCCACTAACAAGTGGACCCATGGGCCACTGTGCTTTTACATAAATTTCTACTCAGAGATGACCCCTTTCCAATGACTCCCAAACAATCCCTAATCCATTCCCTAAGTACCCAGACTCATTACAGCAACTAATTTAACTATGACTAAAGCTAAACTTCTAAATGATCCATAGCTGTCCCATATTTCCAACAGATTTATGTTTGATACTCCACAACAAAGGTTTTCAAATTTTATTGATCTGAAATATGAAAGTTCAATAAAAGCTTTACTTGTTTCACAATTCTAGTCACAAAATACAAAGTTATAATTATCTTTTGTATCGATTTGATCATCACTAAACTAATATTCTCATCTTGACAAAAAAAATTGTGTATACATAAATGATGATTACATCTTTGCCCCCTCAAAGCCTTCACTCTGCCTTTACCAAAATGTACAGTCACTGATGCAGATAATAGTATAGTTGGAGAATGCATGTTCATAGGGAAGTATAAAAACCCTATTGTCAAACAACAAAAATCTAAACAGCCAATGATGCATCAGACTAAATGAATCACCTTGATTCACTAACAAAGAAATTGTTGTGTGGATATGTAAGAGAATTTTTATCCCTTTTACTAAGGAAATGCATGTAAGTTGAACATCTGATTCACAAGGAATATCATTTGACAAACAGCAACAATCTCAGAGGTCCAGTCAGTTTGACTAAAGCCCATAAACGGAAAAAAAGTCCCGGAATAGTAAGAAAGTACAAATCCTGGCGGGTGTAAAATAAATGCTCACAGGTGTTCATTAAATTGAAAGATTTATAAAACTTGGAGTTTGTCATTCTAGAAATTTCATAATCTTCTTTTAAAATTAACATTAACATGAACCTTGGATATTCAAGATCTGATATTAAGACTAATATGCACCTTCAAACAAAAAAGTATTCTTTCTACAGTTTCTTTCTTCTTGAACTTCATTACTTAATTCTAAACACTAGATTGTACTTCTATTTTAGCATGTTCAAATACCATAAGCTCCAATTCTACCTGAAAATCATAATGCAATACGGGCCATATTACTGCCCAAGGGCCGACTTTGGAAGTGGCTACCACCACATGAACTATGGTGATCAAGTATTCTATAGCATTTTTTTTCCATAGGTTGCTACCATAATGCATCAGGTCCTTAGTGCTTTATTTGCACAATCTCTCTGTTCAAAGAACCTAAAAGGTTTGGCAAACCAACGAACCTAGTAAACTAGCAAATCAATCAAAAAACACAACGCTTACAAGGTCTAACTGTTCTTCCAAAATGGCTGTTCAGGATTCAGCTCTGGATTTGACACATCAGTCTGGCCAAGGGCATTGCTACAGATCTAATGAAATCTCAAATGTGAAAGATACATGCCGAGAAAAACAACAAAGAAATCATTTGGAACAATAAATAAATAAATAAATAATTCCTTGTGACCAACTTATTTATACATACAGATGATATTATACAAACTTGTGAATATGATACATAAAGTGAAAATTTTTGTTTTATATACATGATGCATTGACACAGACATGAACAAAATCCACGCAGAGAGAACAGATGCACAGCATGTCCAAAGAAGATAGAAAGGAAAATTGATAGATCAGAAAGAAATTCAAACATGCCCACATATTTCTCACTAACATTACCATGACTAGGACATTGACTATCTCAAATAGAAAAAAAAAAAAACGTCTGGACAGCTAAAATATGGAATATGGATCGTAACCATTACACGACTCCCAATGTAGGGTCTAGGGAGAGTCAATCTACACAGTTTGGGAGGAGAACTGAAAGAAGATTGTGTATAAAATATAGCAAAAAGCCTTATGCAAAAGCTTGACTGAATGTACAATATATCACTCCACAATCTTAGGAACATAAATAAAATGCTATTCTTCACCTAAGCTGATCATACTGTTCACAAAAGATAACTGGACCGTTAAAGAAGATGAATGATCTGGAACCATTCTTGTATACCTGAAAGCTTTATATCTTCTGCACATTGGATGCTACTTCGCAGAGTCTTCACAAAGATTAACCTGGGAAGGCGTTTCTTGCTTGCAGAGACCTCCAACGAGATGCATTTCATGATCAGTGTGATGAGAAAAGGCCATGTTTCAGCTGCCAGTATAAGCAAGAAAATAATTATGATACAAAGATCAAATCCTTCCTTTTCTTCTGTCTTCCAATTCAAGGAAACTGAAAAATCTAGTATAACCAAAAACAACACAGTCCCTCTGCTTCTGCTGAGCCTTTTCGTTCATATACTATAAACTTAATACAAACGAAACAAAAACCAAATCCTCCATTTCCGCCACCTCTTTAATTCAAGAAGAAATATCTAGTATAACCCTGAAGAGACACAAACATCAAAACCCTTCCGTCACGTATACAAGAGACAAAAGTCTAGTATAACCTAAACCCATACGGGGATCAAGTCCCTCCGCCTCACTATGTCTTCCAGATTCAAGAAACAGAAAATTCTAGTATAACTTAAAACAGATACAGAGATCAGATCCCTTCCCTTTCGCAAAGTATTCAAGAAATGACATCAAACGATAAAGAGCTTCGCCTTGTGTTCCGATCCAAGAAATGGAGAGTTACGGTACAACCCTAAAACTCACCGTGAGGGATTGAATCCGCCTTAATCTTGGCGGTGTTATGGCCGAGGAGCTTGCAGAAACCAGCCGCCCTCTCGCCTTCCAACCAGCTACTCAACAGTTTCACCCCTTCCTGAATGTTGGGGCGAGAAAAAAATCATAGAACAAAAAAACGATCAAGAAAAGAAATGAAAGAATCAGTGTAGGGAAAAGGTCACCTCTCGGGCTTTCGCTTTATCAGACGAGAGCTTGGAGACGATTTCTTGGACGTCCCTCGAGGTCGCCATGACTCCACCGATGATCTCCTGCTCCACCGATGGCGATCGGGAGATGAAGGTGATGGTCTGTTTAGGGATCCTACGAGGGCGACAAAAGAGCGGGCCGGCAAGGAGGAAGTGGGAAAAAATTGGAAGGTGGTTTACTCCAGGGTTTTAGAGTTACTGGACTTGTCGCATAAGGAGACTTTAAATAAATAACATATTTTGGGGTGGGGAAAGGCATATTACCACTCCTGCCCATGAAAAATAACCGAGAGCAGCCATGTCTGCCGAAGTCGTCGACGGCACGAGCTCTTCACGTGACGATGAATACGCCTGCCTCCGTCCGCCAAGGACACAACCCCGGGTGACGACGGCCCCGCCCGGTTCTAACGATCGAACAGCAGCGCACCCGGCTCTGCGCGAGCGTTCGTGATGGCATCGCTTCCTACGGCGGGCTGCGGTCTTTGTTTGAGGAAAGCTCGACACAATTCAAACAACAGTATTCACTGTTCTTTGATGTGGTAGCGTTGCCCGGACGACTACAGTGCGGGAGGCGCAATCTGCGATCAATTTGATCCTCTTTTCTCGCATGATGATGTATCAGCTAAGCAGTAATCTACCGTCGTTGCCACATCGATCATGCAAGAATAAGGTTGGTCGACAGATGCTTTCCTTCGTGCGTTGCTCAAAGAAAGCATGTTCTTATGGCTTGATGCGGGTGTACCAATCTGCATATGGGTATCCTTTTCTTGCTCCTCGCACCGGAAGCTTCGCATAACATCGTCGTGAACAATTTCGTGGACCATTCTCGATGCACGTAGATGCATGATTTCTAGAGCGAACATCTGTTTTCTATTTACAAGAGTTTAGCTGCTACAACGAAATGGAACACTGTCCTCAAGGACAGACTCTGGGTACGATTTTACTCACGATAAGCTCAAATGGGACTCAAGCCACGACGTAACTCGCTTCTCGTGTGCTCCAACACCAGGTATGGTGATTTAAATGCGATATAATTATTGTATGCTTTATGTTTATTAAATAATATTTCGACTTATAGATGTGGATATTATATATATATGAATTCTCAAAAAAATCCATTTTTTAATAATATTTTTGGATATTATTACTTTGAGAATAAAAGTATAAAAAAAAAATTAACTTCCATGTTTTTGTCACATACATACAAATATTATAGATCTAAGCAACATACAATACAAATTAATATTTATGATCGTGGGTGAAGTTTCAAATAGAACCTAATCATGTTAAAAAAAAAGCAAAGAAGATGAAGTTGGAACATTGGACATTTGTAACAAAAAAAAAATGTCTATAAAAATAATAAAATAAAAAAGATGTGAGGTTGATTTGGGACATTAATTGAGAAAAATGAAAAAGGAGAAATGAAGGTTTTATTTCGTATTTGCCAATTGGTTTTCGATCAGACGGCGGGGGGAAGGAATGCAATCTCGACAAGCTATTCTTCTTTTTCTTTGGAATGACTGTGGATCGCAATATTTCCTTGGCACGAGATAAATAATACCGTCCACCCCACGTCCGTCCGTCCGTCCGTCTATCCATCCGCTGAGGCCACGGTCACAAAAGAGACAGGAGAAAGGGAAAGAGAGAGAAAGAGAGGGAGAGAGATCCGGATGGGTCGAGCGTTCGTGTACGTGATACTCGGCGGCGGCGTCGCCGCTGGCTACGCTGCCCTCGAGTTCGCGCGCACGGGAGTCGCCCACGGCGAGCTCTGTATCATCTCCGAAGAAACCGTGAGTCTCTCATCGCCCCAGTCTTCTGTCTTCTTCTAGTTGCCCCAATCCCCTATCTCCTCCCCCCGCAATTCCTTCTGGATTTTCCCCTATTCGTTTGTTATCGTTTGATGTGCTTGTTTTTTATTTATTTTTTTTCTTTATGATTCGGTATCGATTGCTTATTTTAGCCCTCTCGAGGATTTTGCATGACCATTCGTCGGATTGGTTTGGGATTCGTGTGGAAATCGAGTTATCTTCGAGATGATGATATTTCTTTTTCTCTCATACGTGGATTGCTTGGGTTTATCGAATCCCCAACTCGATATTGATGCTTGAGGGTTGGAATTTTTGGTTTCGAGGAATGAAATAATTTGTTCCACGCTGTCGACATCATGTGATAATTAACAGTTGATTATCGAGTGTTTGATCACTCTCTGTTTTCTGGATTCGACTCGAATACAATGTAGAATTTATGACTCGAATTCTGATCGACTTTTGTACAGGCCGCACCTTATGAAAGGCCTGCATTAAGCAAAGGATATTTACTTCCAGAAGGTATCGGTCATGCTTTCCCTACTTACATTATTGTATCGGAATTGTACATAAAATAGCGTGCTTATTGTTCTTTCATCACCCCCAAAATACATGTTTTTGGTTCTGGAGCTCCGATTTATTACTAGAGGATGATCACTGTTATTCTGGTACTTCCAAACTTAACAAGTCAGACCAGACCTCCATCCATTTAAAACAAAGAAGCTAGATAGTTATCCTACGCGGCGAGTGTTATCTCAAACTGCTCCAGGGGTTTCTTTTAAAAACTTTATCATCCCGGCGGGGGGGAGGCCATGCAATCATATGTAGCTGCCTTTACATTCTTCTCTCATGATCTTTGACATACTGCTTCCTGCCCTTTCTCTCTTTCTCTCCTTTTGTGTCCTTTCATCTACTTATGGAGTCTATGCTTAAAAGAAGGGGAGTCAGAGCCAGGCATCTCATTCAGGATAAGCTCAATCATGTTGGTTCTGACCTGGCTGATTCATGCTTATGCATCCCTACTACATTCTGACACCTGTTTGCTTTTCCAACTTCTATATGATACTTAGCGAGCCTTCAAGTTTCGGGTTGGTGATGGGTTGATGATTGCTTGGATAGACATACTATACATACCCATACAAGCAGGCACTCACATCAATGGTGATAGATCTACGCCATCCTGTCTATTTGTAAGGGCATCAGATGGTGTTTCAAATGGCTTAACATGTTCAAATACCTGTTATGGATGTAGTAGTGTTATTCCTATTGATGAACATGTAATTTTCTCATCAACATTTATCTTAGCAGAAGAGAGTCCCTTGAGTGATATTGCAGGTTAGTTCGCGAAAATACTCATCACAATTATTTATTATGTTTACCCGCCGGTCAGCATTCAGCGTTCATATCGTGTTATATACATTCAGTTATTTTTATCCTTATTTTTGATCTGCATATTTGTGATCGTTGTACAATTTTGGCTATTTGCAGCCCCTGCACGCCTGCCTTCATTTCATACTTGTGTGGGTGCTAATGATGAGAGATTGACACCAAAATGGTATAAGGAGCATGGTAAATTGCTTTTTCTTTTTATTTACTTTTCTAAGTCCAATCATTACGAGAGTTTTTACTGTCTTTCCTTTATTCTGTCAAGAATTTTCACAAACTGGGAAGGTATGCTTTCTTCATTTCGATTTGCTTGCTTAGAGACAACAACCTGCATTTGTGTTGCAGTACATAGAACAACACATGCCTACAATGCTATGGATCAGCGTTTATTAACTTCTCATGTTTATGCTTTATGTTTATGAGTACCATATCCTGTATGGCACCAACATCTAGATGCATTAAGTCCCAAATATTTGGGGTCATCTACATCGGTCATCGACATCTATCTTCTCCCATAATTTTGCTCCAGGGTTCAATCATTCTCTGATTCAAAAGCCCTCATATTGTTGTCCAACGTCTTCTTAAATTTTTTCTTATCCTGTCTTGCAATGAATTAGCCCTTGTTGCTGTTATGTTGTGTTATATGCAATGCATCCCAAATGTTGTTAAATCCACTTATTATCATACCCTTAGACATGCTAACCTATGTTGATATAAAAAGGGGGCACATGGAATCCTAATCAGTTTCTTCTTCTACAACTTTCCATGTATGATGCACATGATCTTTCTTTTTCTGAATATACAACCTGCATCTCTTTATGGACTTCTTTCTGCGTGCACACTTCAAACATCTCTAAAATGACTTTGTAAGAGATCTGCTGTTAATTAGTTAATATCATGGGAACTTCTGAATGCAATTTATTGTTTTGATCTGCTAGGCATTGAACTTGTTCTTGGAACCAGAGTCAAGTCTGCTGACGTGAGGAGGAAGACATTGATCACTGCAACTGGTGAAACTATCAGTTACGAGATACTCATAATTGCAACAGGTGCTCGGGTACTGAAATCTATATTCACTATTTGGATTTTGAACCCTTGTTGCTCCATAATTTCATAGTATTCCATGAATCATTAAGTCACATCATGAACTGGTAGCTGCAATTGAAATGCATATGTTGTTTACAGGCTTTAAAACTTGAAGAATTTGGAGTGAGGGGATCAGATGCTGAAAATGTTTGTTATCTGCGCAATTTGGCTGATGCAAATAGGCTTGTGGCCGTAATGCAAACATGCACTGGTGGGAATGCTGTTGTTATTGGTGGTGGTTACATAGGAATGGAATGTGCCGCAGCATTGGCTACAAATCGAATAAAAGTAACCATGATTTTTCCTGAAGCACATTGCAGTAAGTATTGATCCATTCTATATCACATTTAAGTGCATCAGACACAACTAAGTTGCATTTGTTGATCATTGCTGCAATTATTTTGCAGTGGCTCGTCTGTTTACACCGAAGATTGCCGAGTTTTACGAGAATTACTATAAGTCAAAGGGGGTTAAATTTATCAAAGGAAATGTCCTGACATCGTTTGAAAATGACTCGGAGGGAAAGGTAATATCTAGTGTGTTTGTCACATCCGTTTTTCGTTTAATCAAGTATACTTAGTATACTTATCCAGGGATTTAAAATGCTAGTAGATGTGGTATTTTATTTTGGTGCTTATCTGGATTCAATTCTGGACGATTGTCAGAGACCTGGATTTGTTTCTAAAGATGTACTAGTTGTACTATTGATTTACTATTGTCCAATGAATCACTTCTTTAACTAGCCTCTCTACTCCTTTCCACTAAAAGCAGTTTAGGGTGGTTAACAAATGATGATCTACCTGTGGCTGCACTTGTTTGTCAAAGGGAGGAATATTTCCAGTTGGCTGTTGTCATGTAGGGTACATATATTTTGAAGATGGCTTTGTTATGCTATACAGGAATCGTTTTGTTAAATCCATTAAACAATAACCGTATGCTGCTTAGTAAGATCTTGATTCAGAGATGTTTCAGACGGGACGATTTATGGGTTATTTTTGTTCACGAACTTTGTTCAAAGAGGCTGCACACTTATCTGTCCTCGGTGAGGTGTTGATCTGGCTAAATATCTTTCTCTTTGCAGGTGAAAGCAGTGATCCTTAAAGATGGTACCCGTCTTCTGGCTGACATGGTTGTGGTGGGTATTGGTATCCGTCCAAATACCGGTCTTTTTGAAGGTCAACTACATCTGGAGAAAGGTGGGATTAAGGTCAACGGACGAATGCAGACAAGCAACACCTCTGTTTATGCTGTTGGCGATGTCGCTGCTTTTCCCGTCAGACTCTTTGGTAATGAGATCCGCCGCCTCGAGCATGTTGACTCTGCTCGGAAGACTGCAAGGCATGCTGTTGCGGCCATCATGGCACCCAAGACAACAGGTGATCTTGACTATTTGGCCTTCTTTTACTCGAGAGTTTTCACACTTTCTTGGCAGTTCTATGGTGACAATGTTGGAAGCGTCATCCATTTTGGAGATTTTAATAGTGGGAGATTCGGTGCCTACTGGACCAATAAGGGTGTGATTGTTGGGGCTTTCCTTGAGGGTGGAAGCAGAGAGGATTATGAAGCGATAGCCAAGGCTGTTAGGTTCAAAGCGGCAGTGAAAGATACCCATGAACTTGAAAGCGCAGGGCTTGAATTTGCTTTGAGAGAGAGTCAGCAGGCAGCCCCAGAAGGTGGGCTTCTTGTGGAAAGATTATCATATACACGATATGCCACAGCTGGTGTTGCTGTAGCGCTGTCAATTGCTGCTTTTGCTTACTGGTATGGGAGGAGGCGCCGTGTATGGTAAGGTAGAAGGTGCAAAAAGTGGTATAGTTACCCCGTATACTGCAACATATGGAAGCTTGTTCTAGCATAAAAGTCATATTCCTTGTACCATAACGATCGCCATATGTCTGAACAACTACATTGTTATGTAACAATGCAAGTCCAACATATTCTAATCTATTATGTTTCTTTCCTGCTTACACATTCCGGGCGTACTCATCGATTGCTCGGCATTGTACGGTATAACTGTTGCGTTTGTTTTGCACATACAAATTTTTACACCATTGTCGGAGATTGTTCCGTTTTTTATTCCCCTCAAAGTAATGAATTTTCTTGAATTCCATTAATCATACTAAAATGTTTACATTCGAGTTACCTCAGCGTAAGATCTAGTTTATGTTGGTAAGGCTGGAGGTGGGATTTTAGTGGTGCATGAATTGTTGCTCTATGTTGCTATATAGTGGTGCATGGATTTTAGTGGTACGATCCAGTTACCTCAGCGTACAATCCAGTTTATGTTGGTAAGGCTGGAGGTGGGATTTGAGTGGCGGTAAGCCATCAGAAAGTCCTCGTTCACCTCGTGAATCGCATTATAGTTAGCATAATTGACTTGTATTAGTTAAATCAAATTTCGACTATCACTAATCAATGATTAAGAATGTCCTATTTTAAATGGTCAATTTGATCATTTGAACCATATATAAGAATTTTTAAACCATTTCTTCTCCTTCTTTCAACTCATTTTACTCTCAAACTCTTTAAATCTTTCAAACATTTTCTCATTCATCTCTCTCTCTCTCTCTCGTTCTCACATTTTTATCGTTTTAAACTCATTAAAATTATGAATTAGATGAAATTTGAGATATTAATTAAGAATGATTAAGAGGAAGAATACTCTAATCGAGAGGAACTAGAGGCACTTAACCGTTACAATCGTTTGCCAAGCATGCAAAGGCAAAGGCAATAACATCAGTCACATTGATAGAAAAAATCGAATAAGACGACGAAATACATTCTCAATCATGGACATAGCAGCTACGTGGACAATAGTGCATTGACCGAGGATGGCGATTACATGAGTTAATGCTCTGTCTATATAATTTGAGGGTGGTGTATGAATTAAGGAACAATGTTTTACATGTCACCTAAGATTCAGATCATGAAGCTCAGCAAGATACTTATCAAGTTTATACACGAAAGAAAAAGATAATGGATGATTTTAAAGACAGAGCCTACATGACATAGACATAAAGCACCATATTCACAACTGTCATAGAGAATCTTACCGTTAACAACAGTACGATGATAGTTTATCCCATTTTAAGTAACAATACAATAAACGATCCTATGAAACAAAATAGCAAATCGAAGTAAAAAATCTTGACATTCTTAATGCTTCACATCAATACATGACACAATCATCATTATCTTAAGAACCATCTCGGACATATATGGTTTATGACATTTAGAATACAACCATCATCACATTGATACATCACTGATATATCATATATCAATATACTATGTCATAAGATCAATTTCAGAATTAAGTCCAACAAACATATCAAATTGATATACAAATACATAGGATTAAACACCCAAATCTAACACTCTCTACGATTCTTTTTAATGAAAGAAGAAAGCATATTCATCGATAAATTATTTGATTCATTTGAATCTTAAAATTTAAATTATTTAAAAATAATCTAATAATTTAATTTTTTTTTATAATTAATTTAATATTAATAAAAAGATGATCTAAAATATACCGTATATAAAGCTACTACTAAAAGTCCAAAAAAGATATATTACTAATCTTTCCTAATTTAAATTATTTTACTAAAATTATATTATATTTTTATTTATTTTTAACTTAAAAATCATAATCTAATTTTTTTGTTTTATTTTTTTAGAATTAATTTTGATAATTTTATCACCCTAATATACCAATATACAATATATAGATATTGATAACTGATTGACATATCGGTATGAATCGATAAGAATCAATAAGACGAACCTTGTTAGAAAGCATAGACAAGTGCCTTAATTAGATCAAGTCGAGTCATCAATGATGATTTCAACATGCAGTGTCTTTGGCTACACCCTATGCAAAGGTTCTCTCAACCCAGAAAATTCCTTACACCATTTCTCTACCATTAGATAGAGCGTTTAAATAGTACGCCATCAATTGTCAAAAGAATCTAGGGAGGCACTAAATGGACAAATTTCCTGAAAATATTCTGTATAAGAAATACAGAAATGAGAAAATCGTGAATAATCTCAAAGAGGCATTAATTTTATTTTCCATTGTACATTGATATGCTACAGAGTCAGCAGGCTTTTGGTACTGGGGCTTGATGAAGTTTTTAATCTATACAATACTTCTGCCAGCATCATAATTATCAATTTCTATGAGGATGATTAAGCAGAACTGTGCCTGCAAAAGGTTCAAGTTGCTCATGTTAGATATCACAAACTGGAAAAGGATAAAGCAGATGCACCACGATGATAATGAATAAAGAACAGTGACAAGTGATTGTGTCATGCAAAAAGCATATGAAAACCTTGGCCTTTCTAAAAAAGTCATAACAAAAGATTAGTGGTGAAGATTAGGTGCTCTAATCAGGTTTGGAGTTTCACTAGGATTAAATATCTAAGATTAAATAAACAAAAATTACAAGATATGTATGTCACAGTAGTAGGGGGGTAAACCCTAACTACTTTAAAGTACCATTACTGGTCTACCTATTCAGAATGGTAAAATATGACATAATATGCACCAATAAATCATATCTGATACTTCTCGCATGGCATAATCATCTTACCAGTGTCAAGTCAAAACGCCTGAGAATTGAATGCTCTTGTATCATAGCTGTTCTTTACCAGGCTCAAACCGACAGATACAATCATATATATTTCCATTGAAAAGCTTTTCAGCCAATCTCTGATTCTTCACCATTGCAAGCTGAAATATGACAGTTATGAGTTGTCTAAAGGCTGCTAGCATATAAAACTTTGTAAAGGCATGATGAAAAAGGATATTCAAAAGTTTGGATTGAGATTTTGTAAAGGCATGACCTCTAATGGTCAAACCAAAGTCAACTGGTTCTATTCAGTTGGACATGTAATACTTTTCTCAGGTCCCCTAAAACAGATTAGTGACTACAAAGCACTCAAATATATCCAAATTGATTATCCTAGACTCCATCAAATACCCTCACCTTCAGTGAGTCACATTTAAAATGAGCATTTAGGTTAGTATGGATGGCTCGCCCCATTCCCTCCAGGATTATCTGCATCACATTCAAAGCCAGCTCAGATGTACAAGCATTTGTAGTAGATAACATATATTGAGGAAAAGTGTGTTTAAAAGGAAATTTAAATTGCCATACCAAGTCTGCATCTTTTGCAACAGCAGCAAGCTCTGAGCTGACCTGCCGTAAATCTATGCAAGGGCCCCCAGATCCGTTCTCAGCAACCATCAAGGAAACTGAGGTCGAATGATTTTTCAATCCATCTTCTTGTATACTTACCATTGCATCCATTAGCAATCCTCCAGCTTCAGCAGCTTTTCTAATTATATCACAGTGCTGTAAAGTTTTAGACAAAACCATCATGTTAAAACTTAATAAGAGAGATGATGAAGAGTTGAGGGAGATCTCAACAACAAATCAATTTGATCTGGAAAAGGCTACTAAAAGACAAAATACTGTTCATTTAGTTAACACCAACCTTTGCAGCTTCAGCCACAATTTCAGGAAGTTCAAGAGCTGTGACATCATTTAAAGCAGGCAACGAATTTGCAACCAGGACAACCTGCAGCGAGGGAATATCATCATATGCTCTGTCTTATTACTTGTAAATTTTAATAATACTAAAAGAACATATACTTCTAGCAGTTTTAATTTGGTCAAAAGCACTCGAACTGGTTAGGATATTAAATACACAATGGATCTTTCAATTTAAAGTTTGAGAAATTTCTGAAGAAACATACTTGAAGATCTTTAAAGTAATGAATCCCTGAGAAAATTAGTATATAGCAAATATTTTGCCTATAGCACAAATATTTTATAGTTAAAATCCTTGTAGAGATTACATTTGTATTTGTGGAAGAACAAAGATGCATCCAATTTCCTGCACACAATATTTTACAAATGTAATTGACGAATACTTTGTCAAGGCATTTCTTTGCTTGCTAAGTCTTACAAAACAGGAAGATTAAACAGAACAATTTTCATTTTTTTCAATTTTTTTTCCATGCTGGCAAATGATTTTCAAATGATAGAATCAAGTGAGACTCAGAATATGTTCATTTGTGGGAACTGCAAAAACCAGTTGGCAGCACTGAATATTAAATGATTATGCTGTTCCAAAATATGAAATTTAACAAAGTCAAATTATTTGTAGCAACGACTGAATCAAGCAGCAAAGAGAAGTCCCATATTAATGTTTTTTATGTGTAGCACTAAATCATTAACCATATCATCTTCAACCCTCAGTCTTACCGACAACCAAAAAAGAGATGAATAAGAGAAAGTAATACACAAAGAACAAAAAGAGAACAGGCTGCTGCCAAAATGTTCTTTTCCCAGAATGGACAAGGATGGCATCAAGAAGCACAAACACAAGTGAGGATTTGGCAAATGGCACCCTTTCTTAGGGTAAAATAAGATGAAATAATAGAATTAAAGCATAATGTCAATAACTACGATACTTTTGCAACCTCCAAGAATCTCAGCAGGTTTTAGATCTTTATAAGAACCAGTCTGAATTTCCATCAAACACTGGATGCCAAGCTAATAATTTGAGTGGCAAGCGGTTAATAATCTTTCAAAAAGAGAGAAAAAGCACCATAAAAGTTGAAAAACTCTTTCAAAATGAAAGTTCAGTGGACACATACCATATATAGAAAGTTCATGCATTTAAAACAATCTAGTTCCACAAATAAAAAAACGACCAGTCCCATCTCTTTTGCACATATATAAAAATATTTGTTCTTCTTCCTCACCGATGATTGCATATGGAAACCATACAAGACAAACATTATGTTTTATACATGATAGTATTACTGGAAAAAAAAATTGCAACACATACAGCTACCTATTTTGCTATTTTTTACAACTCTAGCTTACCTCAGTTCCACGACGGAGGAGTTCTCGAGCTAATGGAAGCATCCCAAGAACAACATCAGCACCTGAG